GTTTTATTCCTTCATCCATCTATTTAATAATCTGTTTTATAATTTTGTCATGGGTTAGAAGTCATTTATTAGTCTTAAACCTACTTTCCCCTTTCCTCCCCACCTTAAAAAAAAAAAAGAAGAAGAAGATGAACATTAGCCCATCCTTCTGGGTTTTTCATTCTCTGTGGTCACAATCTCTAGAGATTTTGCTCATACTTTTCCAACTAGTTTTTTATTGTTAGACATTGTTAAATCTAGAGGAGCTATTCCGCTCATGATTACTACTTCCTGAAGTATTTCATACTTTTAATTAAGATGTTTTCAAAGCTTGGCCTAAAAATAAAAGAATATGTTATAGCATTCATGTCACATAAGAACCCAACATCAAGAAGAACATAAAGACACTGAAAATGCAAAAATGCTGATGTCTAGAGAAATAATAGCAATAAATAAAATGTGTGTATAATAATCTCTGTGGAGTTGAATTTCATTGTAACTTTGTTTCCACAAAAGTCTGGGGTAATTTTCCTCAAGGACAGTCCTTTGACATGCCCTATATTCAAGGAGATGTGACTTCTGATTAAGGGAACGCTGAGCTTCAACTCTTTGAGTGGAGAAGGGACTTACTTCAATTGGTTGGATACACAGTTTGAAAGAGGGCCTTTTTTTAAATTTAATTTTTCTTTCTTTTTTAAGCAAACAGGGTTAAATGACTTGCGCAGGGACACGTTGCTAGTAGTGTCTAAGGCCACATTTGAACTCAGATCTTCCTAACTCCCTGCCAGTAACTATTCACTGTGCCACCTAGCTGCCCCAATTCAGACTTTTGAATAGCTAATGGGAGTACTGGGAGCCACAGATATGTGGGAGAGCTAGCCCTCATCAACCCTCCATCTTGGACTCCCTTTGGTGAGATAATCTCCTCCTTCCTTGGCTGAGCTAAGCTGTTTTATCTTGATCTAAGATCCTTTACTATTGTGTGTTCTTTGATCTAATCTGTATAAATACTCAGATTTCTGTTTGTTGTTTTCTTTGATAAGTTTATTAGGTATTGGTGATAGTCTTTTGTGAAAACATCATTTGGTGGGAAAGGGTGAAGTTAGAGAGGGTAAGTTAAGGTCTACCGAAATTTCCTCTTTAAGAGAGATCTGAGTTAGCAGCTTGTATTTTGAACCCAAAGGCAGGTAGGTGGTGCAGTAGATAGAGCACTGACCCTGGAGTCAAGAAGATCTGAGTTCAAATGTGACTGCCATCACTTACTAGCTGTGTGACCCTGGGCAAGTCACTTAACCCTGTTTGCCTGAGCTTCCTCATCTGTAAAATGAGCTGGAAAAGGAAATGGCAAACCACTCCAGTATCTTTGCCGAGAAAACCCCGAATGGGGTCATGGTGAGATGGACACCACTGAAACAATTCAACAACAGTTCTGAACCCAGACTCATGTTCCTAGATTAGAAATATTTTACAGGTGGCAGATAAATAGAATTCTATCCTAATACCCATCTTGAAAACTGGAGGAAAGATCTGGATCCTGAATCCTACCTACCTCTCCCCCTAGCTAGGCTGCTGGTGGTCCTGGAATGGCCTTTTTTCTTACTTTCTACAAATGTGGGCCAAATCTCAGATCATATGTATTGATGCCATTGGCAAACTATGTTTATATATTAGACAGCCACACACACGCATATATCTGACATAGAAAACAGACACAAAATAGACTTGATGTAAAGTACAAACTCAGAATTATTGTTCTAACCTTTTTCTGATAAAACATGAGTTGTTTATATTTTCAAGGGGAAAAAATAATCCAGAGTGGCAGAAGGAAATCCAGATTTGTGTGAGGAGTTTTGGAGGGTAGAAGAAAGTGATACAAAGAAGAAAAGGAAAAAGGACCATTGAACTTTTAGAACTTCTTATTGGGTTTATAGGTCGTTCCAAAGAGGGTAGAGCTATATACTCTGAGTAGAAAGCAGCTTTCTGTGCTCCACAAAATGATGAGGTTCTAATATGAAAGAAGGAGGAAGAGGAGAATCCTGTTGGCCATCAGGTTCCTGCTGAGGGGTCGCAATGCTTTCTTCCTTGGGTGCATTTCTGGGCCATGACAGAAATTGTCCCAAGACTTGTCAAATGACCAATGACCAATGATCCGTTTCTGGTGGTTCTGGTGGGGACAAATGGCATTATTGCCAGAAGAAACCTAGAAAGCCTCTGCAAGGATTGCAAGTCTTATTTTTATCACAATTACCAATCAAAGATAGTGTCTTCAGAAACAAAAGGAAGGTGGAAATAAAAGGGATGGGAAGAGTAGTATTTTATATTACGAAGATATAGCTCCTCACTTCTCTGTGGAAATGCATGAACCAGATGGGTGGAGTATGGTAAAAACATCTGGGGAAAGACCAGCAATGGAAGAAACAGAAGCAATATTGTGGTGGGAGTATACTACAAACTTCCTGGCTAAAATAAGGAAATGAATGAGGAGTTTCAAAAGCAGATTAGGTTATTGGCACAGAATTGTTATGGGGACTTCAACTCTTCTGACATCTGCTCCAAATTTCTCTACAGAACAGAGTAGTTGAGAAATTCTTTACTTGGCCCTGCTGATGATAATTTCATCCTCCAGAAGGGGGAGGAAATGACTATGAAGACTTTTTCTCAATTCTCATTCATAAGCAAGAACAGGTTGCAAAAGTAGAAATGACAGAAACTTTGAGAAGTGACTACACTATCTTATAATTCCTGATAGTGACATTGGGAAAACAATGACTTTGGTGGGTCAGGACTGTAGGACAAAAGTGACGATCTCCACACTGCTCTCTTCAGTATTGCTAAGTGCCTGGTCCCTGATAATCTGCATGACCCAGAAATAAACATTGAGGGGTATAGTGGAATTTGAAGGAAGTTTTTTCAGTGTACTCATATCACAATAGAAGAAGGAGGAGGAGGAGAAGGAGAAAGAGGAAAAATAGGAGAAGGAAGCCTAGAGAACTGAACACTAAGGTACAAGCAAAGCATTTCAAAAGATAACCCTGATCTAAGGGTTTTTTTCTGGCTTTCTGGATGTCACGAAAGATCCAGAATCATCCTAATATTTTGGGTTAGATACAAAGAAAAAGATATGACCACTTCCCTGTGGGGAAGAGGCCACATGGTAGCTGTGATTCTGAAGAAAACCAGAAGATATGTTAGTTCAATAGAGAAACTGCAGTGGACAACTAGCAACTCGCAGCTCAATGGAGCTTGACCTTGTTTTGGTAGAGAAAGCAGACCAGCAGCTTTGGAAGCAGAGGACTTCATTTGAGAGGCAGCATGAGGAGTATGGGTTGCCCTGGTTAAGTATTTTCCCTGCATATGTTCCCTAGCTACATGTGTTCCTTATTCATGTTCTTTTTCCTAATGGTGATATGGGAATCTGTGGGAGGGTGTGCCTGTTTACGTGACAAAGATTTTTCTTTTTACTTTGTTATTATATTTAATTAAGTGCCTTTTGCTTTGAATTAATATTTCTTCAGGTTTGATCTAGTAAAGGAGAAATATCAGCAGATTCCTGAGCTGTGGGGTCTTTTTTTATAAATTCATTTTTATTTTTATTCAGAATTTAACAAACGCCAAATAGAACGGGCATTTCATATGCCTAGCAGAACAGAAAATGAGGATAGGATATGAACTATAGGTCTCTGTTATATACAGCTTGCTTTTCTTTTTAAGTACATAGTAAGATCAAAACCTGTACCTTTCAAAGCTTTCTGCTTGTCTGGTCTTATTCCTAGCCTTTTGTTCTTTTCTCCGTATTTTGAAAAAAAAAATACCCCACTGAATCTCTTTTCTTTCTTTTTCTTCTCTCTCTCTTATTCTCTCTCTCTCTCTTGCTTCCCTATCCCTATGTCCCTCTGCCCTCCCAACACTGTCCCCATTGGGAAAAAGAAGAGAGGAAAAAAGCCCTTGCAACAAATATACATGATCAAACAAAACAAATTCTCACATTGGCTGTGTCCAAAAATGTATGTCTTATTTTACATTTTGAGTTTATCATCTCTCCATCAAGAGATGGGTAGTATCAGTCCTCCAAAATAGAGTTTGCTCATTGCATTGATCAGAATTCCCAAGTCCTTCAGAGTTGTTTTTTCTTTGTAATGTTGTTATTGTATAAATTGTTCTTTGGGTTCTGCTCATTTCATTTTGTATCAGTTTATACAAATCTTCCCAGCTTTCTCTGAGGCAGTCCATCAGTTCTCGTGGTACAATGATATTCCATTACATTCATAGTACATACATACATGCATACAATAATTTGTTTAGACATTCCCTAATAGACATGTATTCCCTTGGTTTCCAGTTTTTTCTGGACCTGTGATTTTGAATAGAAGTTGAACCAAAACTTGCTTTGAAGCTAAGGTAGCTTTCAGGGGTCTAGAGCTTTATTAATAAATATGTGAAATGCTGGACACAGTTTGACACACATCTTAAATATGGGAAGAGTGGGTTTCAGAGCCAGTGTGGAATTCTACCAAAAAAATATCATGAATAATATAAAGAAAAAAATCCTGATAACACAAATGCAAATTATTTCGATCATGAAGGAAAGTGGCAACTAACTGTAGAGACCAATGTGGCTGCACAGAGAATTTATTGGCCAGCTAGATTTATTTAAAATGGATTATTTTAAAAACCTATTAAAAAAATTTTTTTGAGGCAGTTGGGGTCAAGTGACTTGCCCAGGGTCACACAGCTAGTACGTGTCAAGCGTTTGGTCTAAGGTTGGATTTGAACCCAGTCCTCCTGACTTCAGGGCTGGTGCTCTATCCACTGCTCCACCTAGCTGCCCCCTAAAATTTTTTTAATTAAAAAAATAAAATTTTAAAATACATGTACAGAAAGTGGAAATAAAGGGAGATAACTGAGAATAAATACCAAAGATAACATAGTACTATAAAAAGAAGAATGTGTGGAAGAATGAGATGAAGTTTGCAATGAATGCTTAGGAAAACATAAACGGATTTTTTTTGTGTGTATCCTAGTTCTATCATTCAACCTGTCTTAGTATGCTGAGGACAAGAAGATGGCCAAAGAAGGGAGAGGAGCACAACTTGAAGGGGAAAGGATGGTCATGGACAATAGAAAGAAAACAGAACTATCCACCTCCTAGTTTCTTCTGGTTTTGCTACCAAGGAGAATGACACTTAGAGTCATAGAATAAAGATGATGAAAAGATAACAGAATAAATGAAAAAGAACTTATTTAGTGTTTATTGTGTGCCAAAAGTTTTCCTAAGTGCTGGGGATATAAATTGAGAAAGTGAGACAACGTGTACTCTCCAGGAGCTCACATTCTAATTGGGGAAGAGGGAAATTATATAAAAGAAACTTTAGATGGGAAGGCCCCAAAAGATTCAGCAGCAAGGTAGATGGCAAGTTTCTGGGGGCATTAGGTCATAATGAAAAGCAAATAAATGAAGACAAGGTAAAAGAACAACTAAATGTACTCATTGAGTTTAAATCACCAGGACCAGACAAACTACATTCCAGGACACAAAATAACTTGCAAATATAATTGTTGGACTACTGACAGTGATTTCCTCCAAATTCCCAAGAATTTATTGTATCAGAACTGTAGAATATTGATTTTATTGATTTTCAGCATATAAGTGGGCTCTGGGGCCAACTTGATTGACCCTCTATCAGTCTCTCTTCTATGTTTTACTAATTTGTCTACTGATATGTGCATTCCTACATATAATATGTACTACCCAATACCAGAGGATGCTCTGGGGTATCAGCTACAGGTCCCAGAGCTTCTGAAAATCTCTGTGATATAAAAGACATAACTTGGAATAGATATAACTAGAAAAGGAGGTGGTCTAGTCATATAACAACTGTAAGAGATAACAGATGGATAGCCTCAAGTGTTGTAATGGTATCCATGAAATGTTTTTAAAAACAGATGATGCTCTTCAGTGCATTAGGTTGATTCTCTGTGGAGGAATTGTGGAAGATGATGGACAAGAATTGACCAGTGAAAGACATTCTTATCATGATGAAATCACAGATTGGTCAACGTATAAGTAGGGAAGTTCTTCAGTCTGTTTCAGGGATGGGCATGTTCAACTTTGTATCCCTTCTGGTACCTGTCATTATACCTTGCCCATAGTAGGGATACCAAAAAATATTTGTTGAACGAATAAATCAAGTTTAGAAATGTTTGCTGTATAGTTAGTTCATTGAGATATGTTTTTATTCAGCAGAAATTAAAGGTAAAATTGGCCATTATTTTTTGACAGTATGGATAATATATACAATTCAAGCAGGAGTGTTCTGGTGAATGTTCACACCTGCTCTGTGGGGGAATGATGATATACTAAGTTTAATTTGCTTTATTAACACTATATCACTTTCTTAGGTCCAGACCAGAACTTCTTAAACTGTGGGTTGCAACTCCATGGGGTCATGAAAAATTTGGCAACACTAAAAGGTTTCTGAATACACAGTGACCAAAAATTAATTAAAAATCAAACGTGTAATGAATCCAAAGTGTTTCTGGCAACACTGGCCTGTGTTGCATTTCACAATTTCACTACAGCTTTGGTTCTGAACACACAGCATGTGCACTTTGCACTGCATGTGCCGTCACACCATACAATGCCAACAAACACTGCAAAACACATGAAGGGGTCATGAGTGGAAAAAATTTAAGAAGTCTTGGTCTAGACGATCAACAAAATGATAAATCACACCCTGATTTGTAGTGTTTGCCCACTTCAAAGCTGTACGTACTCACACTGAAAATTTAACAATCAACTCTTGAGATGGTATGAACTGGCTGCAGTACAACCATGATTCAAGTCAAAGTAAACTTGGGATTGTAAATTATTGTTTAAAAATTGATAAAACTTTGAGTCAACAGTATGATATGATACCCATGAAAGCTAATGTGATATTAGGCCACATTCTGAGAGACAAAGTTTTCAAGACTTAGGAAGTAGTAACCTCGTGGTACTCTACCCTGGTTAGCCTGCATCTAGAGTATTTCCTTCACTTCTAGGTACCAAATTTTAGAAGGAAATGGGGACTGTCTGGAGGAATGTAACCAGGATGGTGAAGGACCTTGAATTCATGCCATATGCAAATCGGCTCAAGGAATGTTTAGACTGGAAACAAGGAGCTAGTGGAGAGAAAGGTGATAGAACAGTTGTGTGAAAATATCTGAAGGACTATCAGGTCAAAGAAAAATAAGATAATCTGGTTGACCCCCAGGAGCAGAATTGGAGCAATAGATAGAAACTGCCAAGAGGCAGATTTTAACTTGATATAAGGAAAAACAACTGAAGCTGTCCAAAGGTGAATTGAGCTGCCTAGAGAAGTAGAGGGTTCTGGTAGCTGTGCAAATGGATAGAGCACTGGCCCTGTAGTCAAGAGGACCTGAGTTCAAATCTAACCTCAGACACTTCCTAGCTGTGTGACCCTGGGCAAGTCACTTAACCCTGATTGCCTTAAAAAAAAAAGAGAGAAGTAGAGGGTTTTCCCTTCTGGGAGTCTTCAGGCAAGGGCTGAATGACAGCTTGTTGGTATGCTGTAGGGAATATTCTTATTTAAGTAATAGTTGAACTAGAACATAGAGGTTCTTAACCTGGAGTCCATGAACTCTTTCTAAAAAATATTTTTGTAGTTATTAAAATATAATTGGTTTCCTCTGAAATCATATGTGTTTTATTTTGAGCATTCATAAACATTATTCTGAAGTGTCTGTGTGCTGCACCAGTTTCTCCAAAGGGATCCACGGCACAGAAAAAATGTCGAGAGCCCCTGAAGTACATGGCCCCTGATATCCCTTGCAGCTCTGGGGTTCAGTGATCTAGTTTGACTATTTGTGTAACTATCTTGACTGCCAAATCTCCCATCCACTTAGACTCTGCAAAGGCAGTTTCTATCTCTATTTGTATTTAATGTTTATTTATTCAAACACATTTATCTACAACTAGGGCCAGCCCAAGGTAAAGCTATGAAGCAGAAAAAGTTATTTTCTTGGGACTTTCTCTTTCTTTCTGGGGCTCCTCACTGAGCACCATCCCTAGTTTATATGAGCTCCTGTAGCAGTCACACATATTTCTATTGAGGGTATCACTATCCTCTCAGTAACCCAACTCTGTAACTTTATCCTTTTGCCCACCCCTCATGTCCAATCAGCTTCCAAGTCTTTTTTTTTTTTCATTCTACTATCTCTTGTATCTCTCCCCATGGTCACCACCGTAGTTCAGGACCTCATAACCTCTTCCCTGGGCTATCATATTGCCCTTCTAATGGTCTCCCGGCTTCCAGCCCCTCTCTCCCCTTCCAATCTGTACTCCACAGGGATCTTACTAAGGTACAGCTTTGACTGTCATTGGCCTGTTCAAAAATCGTTGGTGGCGATCATCTCTAGGATAAAATACAAGGCCTTCAACTTGGTATTTAGGGCCCTTTGCAGACTGAATTCCAACTTACCTTTCCACCTGTATTTCATAGTACTCTTCTTCACACTTTCTATGCCAAACTGATCTGCTAGTATTGCCAGCACTCTGGTTTCCATTTTTAGTCTCCATGCGTTCGCACAGGTAGTCCCCCATGCTAGGAATGCATTCCCACTCTCACCTCCCACCCCCATCACTTCTACTTCTCAGAATCTTTTTGTTCCTTTAAGAATCACCTTAAAAACACCTCCTATGAAGCCTTTTCTGAGCCTACAAGTGTCATGATCTTTCACTTTTCAAATTACATCATGTTTATGAGACCTATTTTTGTAAATTGTGCCCTTCCAAGGGAAATGTACCCACTTTGAGGGTAGTGACTGCTTCATTTTTGTCTTTGCACGCCCAGGACCCAGTCCTAATTGATTTAAATTCAAGTCCCCAAACATAGTTAGCTGTGTAAGGAAGCTCAGGAAGTCTCGGGGAAGGACCATAGAACTTGTTGGGCTGGTTTATGGGTCTGACTGTGGATGAGTTGACTTGTTCCACCTGTTCCTAGAGTCAGTCATTCTCCTGAAGAGAAACAGTTTGCTCTCAGAAGCAGCTTTTTCCTCTCCCAGCATGTCCAGGGGGATAGTGAAGTGTGGCCTGCTGTGCAGGAAGCCCCATCGCATACTGCTAAAATGCCTAAAAGCCAGCAGCCAGGTCCCCATCACTTGTAGGCAACTGAGGAGAAGAGCTCAGATATGTTGTCTTTTGTTCTGAAGGTGTAGGGATGAGACTGCTGTAAGTAGAGAAGATCAGAGACAGGCCAAGGTCCTGGAAAAGGAATTGGTCAAAGGCAAAGCAGCAGTGGGAACCACAGAGGCTGTAGAGGCGAAAGCAAGCCAAGTTATTAGCAGTACTGAGGGTCAGGAGCTGACAGCTGGAAATACTCAACACTATGTTAGTATTGTAGTCTTTTCCTCTGGGACCTGTATGGTGGCAGCCCCTCACCACAGTCCCTGACAAGGCACACTGGATCCCCTGTGTGACTCATATATTATTGACTGAGAATTTGTCTTCTGAGTTTTCTTCTAGATATGGACTTGTACTGGTACTTTGGCCTAGCCTTCTGTCTGTTTCACTAAAGCATACTAGTCACTTAAAAGAGCTGGTTTTTATCTTACTTTCTTCAGAGTAGTGATCATCATTATTCTTTCCTTTATTTGAGGACCTTTTTTCCCTAACATTGTTACTTTAAAAGAAACCTAAATCCAGAGGATTTGCCATGGGAATCCATAATTTTAGTTATGCTTATCATGGAGATGTGTAAATACATTCTTCAGTTTTGTCTTATATAGGTATTTGTGTAGTTATTCCACCATCCCACCCTATCCCTGCCCCCAATTGAGCTTTTCTGAAAAGTTTGTAATCTCTTTTCAGGAAGATTTCTTGAAATGTCAAACTTTTGCCTTCCTTTCATGATGCTTACTTCATTGCTGTGCATACTGTATCAACTCAATTAATTTTTTTTGACTGAAGGACTATTAAGTTACAGATTTGTATTTTTTTTTCCTTTTGGAAATGGGATTATGGTATGAGTATGCAGAATCTTTATCCATATAATTTGATGGGAGGAAATACTAAAATAAACTTTATTATAAACAATTTGGTGGCTGTCTTAAAGAGGAAATTGAAATATGGTAGAAGATAAAAATTAGAGGCCCAGATTTAAAAAAAAAAGATATGCAGAA